TAATGACAATTAAAAAATTTATGTTAAAATTTAGTGTACTCCCGTGGCTTTTTCAGACTGATCGTTTCTTGGTGTTCGCACTTTTGTCTCTCTGGCATTCCCCACCCCATTATCTTATGTTTATACATTGTATACATGTGCATTGCCTGCAACCATTGTCACAGTGCAAACGACAAAAGAAACAGTGAAAAAAAGGAATCGTCTGTTGCGCTGTGTCACGCGGTCTAGTTTAGCGTTCGGCATCAAATGCTCATGCGCAGCCGCTTGAACGGAAAGTATAGCAAAATTGGCGCCGCACTCAACGTGTTAAGATAAAAGAAAGGGGTAGATTAATCGAAGAATGAACGAAAAACATTTGATCGGTTCCCAGGGTGTGGCGGCGGCGGTGTTCCTCAGCAGTTGCACGCGAAGACGAAAGCCGTACACGGAAATCGGCGCGTCGGAGGATTTGAGGATACCGTTGACAGACAGCGGCCGGTCGCGGAGCGGCAGTCTGCGTCACGCTGGACGCGGTCAGGGTGTTCCGATCGACAGGCCCAGCGGCATGAATTCCCTGATCGCGTGCAACAGTTACTCGAACAGGGCGGGCGCGTGGTCCCGGGCCTCGTACAGCGGCCGCTATTCCCACAGTTATGGGTCCGTCGAGGCGAAGAGGTACCTGGAGATCACCACGTGATATGCCCACGGCTAGACGACCGACGCGAGTGTAGCAGCGAATCTCGGGCAGGCTCGTGGCAACAGCTCATCGTCCACAATATTGATCTAATCTTTATTGTTTACGGATAGAACGTTTTCGATCGGTCCCATTCCATCGTGGATCTTCCGAGTGTGTTAAAATACTGAGTTTCATCTGATAAATAGGTTCGGTGTACATTGCACGAGGTGTTCCGGAGATAAGTGATCGAATTCTGGACGGTTACGAAGCTAGACACCTTGTTCAAAGATTACTTTCCCTTTTCTTAACTGAGAAGTTTGGTTTACAGTTGAGCTCGCTCCGTTATTTGGTTATTTATTTAAGGCACGCTTCGCGCGATAGATCGTTCTTGTTTAGAGTGTTTCATGAAATTTCTTTTTCACTCTATCGATGGTGTACCAAAGAAACGTTAGGATCGTAGAGAAATTGTAGAAACTCGCAAGACTTGGTTGTACGCCATTCGCGTGTTCCGTTGGTGATTATGTTAAATGTAGTATAATTATTGATCAGCTATGTAATAAAAAGAACATTTTTATTTAATCATGGACTGTGTATTGTGTTATCGTTATGCTTTTGTTAGGATAATTATATTATTCCTTCTGTTATAGTCTTTCTTTTCCATGAAGAATTCACTATCTATCCTTTAGACATTAAATACAATCATTGAAAATTAGTAATTAGTCTACTAAGAACTTCAACAAATCAGCAAATTAATCAAGAAATTATTGAGAGTAAAATAAACTCTGCATTAACCTAATAATAGTTTCGATTAATCACAAGTTTCAATGGTTACCATTCAAAAAATAAACTACCCTTCATCTCTAAATGATTATTCCACATGCAACTTCTACAAGTCAGTCAATTAACCAAGAAATTTCACGGAAAAAAAGGAATTCTGCATTAAGCCAGCGATGGTTTCGAATAATCAGGAGTCTCGGGGGATTGAAATCTTTTGGCGCAGCATGGAGGAAGCGAATCGTCGGACGCTCGGGGTTTCCAGCCGCGATTTCCATCGTGGTCCCAGTTCAAACTGGATTTTCACTCCCGATCGGTCGTCACGCGATCCCCCGGTCCACGGCAACGCGCGTTTCCTACGTTCGCTTTGAATTCCAAGGCGTTCGCGCATACGTGACACACCCACGCACGTGCGCGAATTCTTCGGAACAATAGCCGACGTCGACGACTTCGCCGCTTACGCGGCCCCGCACGTGCATTTGCAAAAGACACGCCGGAGGAGCCGATGCATTTCTGCCACTTTCGCACGGAACACGCATCGATGATTCATTTTGTACACTACCGGTTTCGAGACGCGAGTGAAACGAGCACTGTCTCCGCTTGTCTTCGAGCTCAACAGCGAATTCTCGGTATTAATACCCATGTTGGCGAACCGGTACCTATTTTCAAAGTCTTTTCTACATTATTTTATCCTGTTGCAGCGAACATTCGACGAGATTGTTTTGAATCTCTCCACTTCTGGAATACTCTTACGTTGATCTTTGCTCCGAAAATAAAGAATTTATGTAATATTGTACTAAAGTTCGGATAAACACAGATATTTGTGTTGCCAACATAACGGTTAATCCTGTTACATCAGTTTATGAATTTTAAATATTACTGAAAAGAATTCACGAGTGTACGAAATGTTGAGAAAACGGGAACATGGTTAAAAGAGACCCGAAGGATATAGCAGGATTCGTAATATGTCGTAAAATTTTCACGTTTTCCATAGGGGGTGTGGATATTGGACAACCACTGAATGCTACGAGAGTAATTATAAATGTTCAAATAGCTACTATAGGATTAATATTCTGCTTCTGTCTGCTGTTTCGTTTAGAAACCTCAGATAAATCTATGTAAAATTCAGGATACTCATCGCTCGCAGATATGATCTACACTTTTGTGAATGTTTGAAATTTTTAGTGGTAAGTGAAGTTGGGATACGATGGGTATGATTCTAGGATTTTTCGCCACGCTTTTCATCCTTTGTCGATTGCACCCTCTCTCATTCAAGGCGCACTCAGCCAGATCGTAGACTTCCCTTGTTAGTCAAGCATAAAGTCTAGGGTTAGAATTCTCGCAACCGACTCACGTCGAGTCGCGAGTTTAATTTCTTTTTCTTGCGTTAGCTCGCACATTGTGTTACACAATATTATATAATTGTATCAATGCGCCGACTTCTGAAGGGATATCGAATTGCGTACATACTTGGGGAAGTTTAGCTTTCTAGTTTGTTCATTAGATTCAGACCGATTAGAAACTTGTTCACTTAAAACTATTGATATTAAATAGATAGTAAAAAAGTCAGATTGTATCGACTGTTTATGTAACAGAACTGGAATAATGTTTACGATTAATTATTATTTATGAAGAAATCGAAGCAAAAATGAAGAAGAATTATCGAGACCAGCGTCTAGCCCTGTTACCGACAGAACAGAAAAAAGCCAGCGATAATAGCTGGAAGCAGAACGGTAGCTCGTGCAGCGAACAGCAAACCACAATCGCGGCGTTGATGCAATTGGTAATTAGTCAGGAAATTAGCGCGGCTAATGTAAGGTGATCATGCCATTATGAAACGATTACGACAGATTTTAACGAGTTTGTAACTACTGTCTTGTATTTACTTAACTCTCTGAACTGTAAAATCATCGAGAAATTCAGAGCGTTATTTACATAAACAAATTACTTTCACGTGTTAATTCACAGCATATTTTGTGATATTTCAATCTACCGAAGTAGAACCTTGTAAAACACTCTGTTTCCCATGAAAAGAAACTTCTTAATGAACGAATACAATTTTTGGTTCTTTTAACATCATTACTTAAAGACTAAAGAAGATTTAGTTAGCCGCTTTTATCTTCACAGAAATATTTCATTCAAAAATTATTGGCAAGAATATTTTCCCTTTCTTATACAAAAAGGGAAAATTGTTAATTAACAAACTGCATATAAGCTATAACGATACAGTTACGCTTCGTTATCCACGGAAGCAACAGAAACACGAAGTGGACTTTACTACATTCTTCGAGTCTTCCTTAACCCAATCACGTACTAATCTCCTTACCGCCACTTATATGTTTACCTTTTCGGAAACAGTCACATTCTCATGTTATCAAGAACACTTCCAAACCTCAAAATACCACAAGAAAATAATTATTAAACCATGTTCTCCTACATTTTCAATAATATTCTTCTGCAGATAAATAGAGGAGAGTAAATGCCAAGGTCAAAATACAGTACACCTCTGCATTCAAAGCAACACGAGAAGAAACAGGTATCTTTAAATTTTACAAGCTCTGTAAAACTTCATCTCGCAGTTCCCGCAATAAAAAAAAAAAGAATTTTGACCAAGTGCGTCTCACACGATCATTCTGGCCGTCCTTTATAATTCCTTTCGCATACCTCGGAACCGTAAGCTCTTTGTTTGATTTAAGGCGTCCCGGTGTACGCGACGCGTTCCGTTTCTTCCGGGAAGACATCCGATAAGCCGATCATAAATTAAACGCAGCGAATTCTGGCCCCCGGTGTGTCTGAAGTTCGCCGCGCGAGTTCGCAGGTCGCAGGGATTCGCGTAACGCGCGGTCGCGACGCCATGATTATTTCCTACGGATCTTTCCCCCTGAGCGTCCGTGTGCATCGTCTTCTCCGGAAATTATACTATTCGCCGCGTAGAACTGCAGCTTTAAATTGTCTTTGCACGTGCGATACACGCGTCACGCCTTCCGAGTGTTTCGAGGGTCGTGACCCCGTTTTTGGAATCACGGGCGTCGCGATTGCAATTTAGATAGTCCTTTATGGAGTGAGGAACCAACGCGGATCGCTGGGAGAATTCTTGATTAACGCCTCGACGGTTAATTCTTTATTTTCATTTGGTTCGAAGGAATTCGGGGGTTGAAGTATTCGGACGATCTGGAGTTCGAAGTTTGGAAGATTTGGAAGATGTCGAGTGGTTGGAAGCTTTGAATGATTTGGAATATTTTAAATATTTTCAATAGTTTTAATGAATTTAATATTTGCGAAATTTCGATAATTTGGAAAACTTTAAAAACTTAGACAAGTTGGAACCGTTGGAGAATTGTTGAATTTTCAATTAACGAGATACGTAGCTCCAGATTATTTTTTTCTAATTTTATACATTTTTTCTTGAATTATTTATAGCAGGCTCTGTATGATGCCTTCAGCATCTTTTATTAATAGGAGCTAACTCGTTATTAATATATTAATGATGTACAATTATTCAAGATCTGTATGTTTATATCTGAATCGTTCTGTATTAATTTCTCCTAAACCTATTAAATAATATTATATCCTTTGTGCGGTCGGTCACTGTGAACAGCAGGACGAATATATAATTAGTGGAACGATCCAGGACGTTGACCTAGTAGGTAAGAACTCGGTAAGTATACGGGACAAGAAGACCGTAATTATTTTTTCAAACACAAACGAGCATGAAAGCGAAGTGAAGGAACGAAAGGAAGAGGAGTGAATTATTAACGCACGCGGAGGGTCAGCGGTGTGCATCCAAGTGTCCATGGATGCAGGTTATCCCCTTTTCCTCTCGGTATCTACTCCTTTCTTCGCGTTTCGAGCCGAGAGACGCGAAACGTCGCTCTTCGGGCTCCCCGTATGATTCAATCGTACGTATATAAGGAATCGAGGAAGCAGCAGCAGCACGGTCGAGGGCGCAATGAAGATAATCATCTGATCGACGACTTTTTTTCCCTTTCCTTTGTCTGGAACGTGGCAGACGCTTCCTCGGCTCGTCTTTATTGCGTCATTCTACGCGTCTACGTTATTCTAAAAATAAATCCTTGGCTATTTATTAATACTCTCAATCGCAAATTACTATTATCAATTTACTATCGATTACTATTATTACTATTATCAGCTTAGTTGCTTAGTAATATCATCTTGTAGTATATTTTCAAATAATTCTTCTGAATAAAAATGGACCATCAGGGAAGGAAGAAATATTTACTATTATTGAAGAATATTACTAGCAAATTTTACACTACTTTGCATCGATTTTTTGATAGCGATGGAACGTTCTGTTGAATTGTGAAGCTTCCAATTGATTGAAAAAAGATAATTAATTATCAGTTTTTTGTTTTGTTTTAGAACCTGTATTTTATGGGGAAATTATGCCCGTTGTGGACATTTTACGAAGAATTCCAATGTAATTTTAACGTGATTAATTTTCGGAAGGTGCAAGTTTATCGAGAATTGATCGGGGGAATAATTCTTACGCTACTGTGGCGTGAGGATTGGAGGATTAGGCGAGGCTGACATCCGAAGAAGAATATCCGTAGGTGAATAGTCCACAGAATGGAAGGGAACAGGTTCACAGGGAAGAATTTACCGGTTATCCCTGTGTGCCTTCGTTCTAATCATCGCATTTGTTTGGAAGATCGCCGGAGTCCGCGTATTTATGACCCTCCATCGAAATTCGCATTCCTGTATCTTTATTTTCCGATATTATTCCCATTCGAGACAGTAAATCATACCGAATCTAACTCAAACCTT